GCGACTGCCGTGGCGCGACTGGGTCGACTGCCGCTAATAAGACGCTGGCCTGTTGAATCGGCCATCGCAAATCGTCTTGTGTGAATGGAGCAGTAGCGAACAAAAGGGACTACAGAAAGATACTTGGACTGAGCTTACGATGACGATTTGTACGATGTGGAAAGAGCTCGATGCATTCAAAAGAGCACGAGCGACGAGCGGACACCGAGCTTTGTCTGGGCTGCGCCGCGCGCCGACTTGAACCAGCACGTGCCGCCGTTGACGTTGCTCCACACATAGGCTTGGCAGCTCCAGTTGTTTCGACACAGGCTGCAACAATCCTAGTACAAGACAGTCGTTCCAGCGCGTCGACACGAAGAATGTCTACCTCAGCCGCCACCGCCGCCGCCGACCCGATATCAAACCCGATCCAATCGACGTTGTCTTGCAGCGCCGAGCACTTGCGGACACGACCGGACGTCACCGCCGCATTGGCCGTCGTTGCCATGCGCGCGTTCTTGAGGTAGCTCTCGAGCGCAATCGGGGGCGTGGACGTCGGCGTCTTGTCGAAAGACGAGTTTGAAGTTGAGCGGAAGCGACTTGGACAGTGTGCGGGGCCACACGTCGCTATAGACGGGCGGCGCAAATCGGTAGGTGGCGTAAAAGGCCAAGAGCGCAGCGTCAATGTCATACAAGCGCAGCTGACCGGCTGTACGCCATGGGTGCGGCGTCGTGCGACGAGAGGGCGAGAGTACGTGACCGCTTGGAGCACCGCGAGTGGCGCCACGGCAAGGTCGACCGGCGCAGTAGTGGGAAGCAGCACAAACACCGAGCGCGAGCCCGCAGGAATGTCGAGAACGAGGGCTGCGTGCAGCAGTCGTCTCGCATGCTGTAAAGACCGCGTCTATAATCTTTGTCACAGTGTCGTAGAGTCCGTGTGGTCTTGTCGAAAAACGCGGGTCGTGACGACGGAGAGGAAACGCCCGGGCGTCGGGCACCCTTCGCCCCCGAACGCGAACGACCGCACTGCGTGTGGAGCCCCGTCCCGGCGACGGCCTTGTAGAACGAGCGAAACTTGCAATACTTGACCGCGAGACTCATCTTGCCGTCGGGCGAGCGGTCGACTTGGTGGAGGGGTGCATCTGGAGCCAGATCGGCACGTCAAGCATGTTGGCCAAGCGCCACCGCGGGTCTGCGTCGACGCGCATCTTGGAGGCCCTCGGAATCGTGGTCCAGTGGTGCCAAATGTTGACCCAGAGCGGCGACACGGCCGTCAAGCGTACGAGGTTCATGCCACGGCGCGGGTAGAGTACAGAAGGCCAAACTGACCAGGACGTGCAAATGGCGCGAGGCAATCGCCGCGATGCCAGCGGGCGAGGCCGGCCCACGGCTGGTCGGCGTCGTCGGCATTTGTCAACGCGGTCTGGGCCGTCTTTGCCCGCTCGTCGACGCGCTGGAGCTGGAACTCCCTCGACTCTGTTTGCGCTTTTGCTTGAACCGCTGGTGACGACCCAACGCTATCGGAGACGCTCGGTCGCCATGATGTGGCCGATACTACGCGCTTGCGTGCTCCACACCGTCGGGCTAGCCCAAAACGACCGAATCTTCCGTCCCGAGGCGCCTGTTGCGACGGCCGCGACTCACGCCGCGCTCTTGACCAAGCTGCACGTTCAACATTTTTCTGCTGAATACCCAAGCGCTGTGTCTCTTCCAAGTGATGAACGTCCTGCGCCACGACGGCTGGCTTTGCGACCACCTCGTTCCGGCTTGCGCCATCCATACGCCTCGCCTTCGTGACGGCTGAGCCTCGCTGCTGCCGTCAGTCGCAACACGCTCCGAGTTGAAAGTCCACCTCCAAGAACACTTCAGTGTACGTACGTCTATTATCTCTAGATAGACTCGCTTGAACAGCAAATAACTCATGGCAACAACCATGGGCAAGAACAACTAACTACTCCAGATCTCGTTACGTGTCATTTCGTCCCTCGGCTTCGACACGACGTATACGTCGACGTTTGTGACGACACAGTTGCACTGCAGTCATAGCCCCCCGTGTCCACCAAAATGCGCGGTCCGACATGAATGCATCCAAATACCACGTCTCCATCAGCGCAGCGGTTGGTTGGAGCAGGGTAAGATTCCAAATGTGCCCGATTTTCGTGTAAAACTTCTAGATGTGTCGACTTTTCACGAAAAGGCCAACTATCGACTCTTTGTATAATAACTCTTTGTCGGTGCTTGAGACGAGAAGCGATTGGCGTTTCGTCGTCAGCAGCTCTCGAGCTCTCGCATGCACGAAGCCCTGCGTTCCAAATAGGCGTCGACATTTCACTCGTCAGCACATTTCGACGCTTTGCGCGGAAGCGGGCACATTTGGCGTTTCACAAGATTGGAGCCAGTACACTGCTGTGTTGCTTACGCGAATAAACGTCATATCTATCTAAACATCGATCTGGAGCGCGACTCATATTCGAGTAGGGCTTGTCGATCTTGCGTAGTTTTACCACTCTTATCTTGGCAGAGCGGACGGGATACAGTCCTTTTACTTACCTTGCGAGGGCTACAGTCGTGGTTGACCCTTCTCCACGAGCACCAGTGCTGTCAGCATGCTATCTGTTGACTTTTGCGTATGGGGGTAGGGTAATGCGTCTGTATACTGTATACGTAGGACAATCGTGGGTGATGATGAGTCTTGTTGCCGTTCCGTGCTCGTTCCGTGGCATTGTGGCTTCAGAGAGCTGTGCCCGAGGTGCGTGCCCACTGGTGCGTGCCCACCACCAAATGAGTCGTAAAGCTCGATTTCACGAAGCGCTCGCGCTCGCACGTCACCACCTTTTGTCGTAAATCATCATCCGGTCAAGCGTCGTGGAGGCCGTGCCATCGTAACCAATACGTACTACACATCCCAAGTGCTGACTGCAAACTCGAGAATAATGACGGGTGGGTGTGGTGCCAGTCACAACGGCGCACATCGAAGAAGCTAATACCAATCATTGCGTCGTATCTTGGATAGATGTTCCGTAGAGGACGTCAAGCCACTCGCTCGCTCGATGGAACCCATTCATTCATGCTTCTCTTGGATAGTTGCCGGAGAGACCCATGCTGCCGGTACACTGGAGACAGAGAAGAGGATAACGTTAGCATGGGAGGCAATTTTGGGAGGCGTGGGTGGGAGGATGCCTGCGCTCCTGTAAAGGCCATCACGGCGTTCCATAAATGCTGACTACGCCGTACAAAGACCCAAGGTTTCTCAAGTAGCACAAGTAGCTGCAGTTTGTGCGGAAGAAGAAGCGTCGTTTTCCGGCGATCACCCACACACACAGCAGAGAGTGTAATCATGGGCGTGACCATGCGGACACGGGCTTGACAAGCGCCACCCATGGTACTACAGGATGCAAGAGAGGCAGACGCCATCGGCAAGAAGGGACCGCCCAGCACCCCGTATAATTATGCACGTGAAGGCTGTAGACTGGAGCCAGCGTACTGGATCGTCGTACGGCGCTGATATTTCAGAGCTGCTTAACCGTACATGCACCGTACGTACGCGCATGCGACACGTGTCTTCGAACTTCGACGGCCTGGTGGCGCGACATACAAGCGTCAAGTAACACGCCATCAAGGAACTTCCTTCCACCACCGTTCTTCTGGGTGACTCAACAGCTTTGAACTTCGAACCATCTGAATCCCAGTGAAGAGCGATGGACACAACATCATTTACCTTTGCTTTCTTTGTTTAACGCGTTTACCGTGGCGTCTGTGTTACAAGGATCTTCAGACGACGACGTGCAGGTGGCGCTCAGGTAGAAGCCGGCGACGTGGCAGAGGTCGAGTTTGCAGTCGCGTCCATACTGTGCATTTCGAGGCGGCAAGCAATCACACGCTAATAATAGTGCGACTGATATACTGGTCGCTGCTGGTCTCTGCACCACCTTGTTCGATGCGTATAGCACGCCTACGGTATCAGTGAGCTCCTCACAGAGCATTGCCTCTCTATCGTGTCTATGACGAACGGAATCTGCGTCGGTGCCGTTTTCTTTTAGACCGGTAAACAAACCGCGTTTAAACCTCGTCGTGTCGCAACATGGGTGCAAGGTGGGATGCGAGGAAGGTGGATGGAACTTACGTACAGTGTATTCGAGCCCGTGCCTGGCGAAATCATCGCTGCCAGGTACTTCTGCGCCAATGGACGTCTCTGACCACTTGCGCCCATGTGGCAGTGTCTCGGTTGCTCTCGCCTTTGCCTCTTCCTCGACTCGGTGCACACGGCAGGTCGACGCGATGGCAGTCGCGATGGCTTGTCCTACCAACTCGACACGCCCAGGCGACGATTACTCTGGAGCCCCAATCGTCCCACTGTGGCGTCGGGGTTTGCCCCAACACTGCCGTCGGGGCATCCGGATACGAGAGGTGTCGCATGGGCTGGAATACACCGGCAATGCCGGATACGGATGTGTGATTACGGGGGATTGGGATATACCGACTTGCAGCCACGGCGGTTATCTCCCTGGGCGAAATCTCCCAGTTGTCATTTTGCAGGTTGTCGTACGCATGGTCGCGCAGTCGTGCAGTGTCGTCGCGTCCGACGCCGTCCTTACGCTCACCGACCTTGAGCTGCCGAGCGCGCCGATCGCTTGTGGCCGGTCCATCGCGCAGCAGCGCCAGTACTTCGTGCGCCTCCTCTGCCGCGAAGTCCTCAAAGTCCACGCGCTCCTCCGCGCGCCGTTCGAGAAGCGCCATGTCATCGACACGTGCCGGGCTGTCGAAGAGAGCCTCTTCGCCGCAAACGCCGACTGCTTTGAAGCCTACGTGCGCCACATGCGCTCGCGTGTCCAGCTCATCGCGAAGAAGGGCTGTGCGCTCGTGCGCCAGACCAGCGACGACGACGTCATGCCGACGCCGACCGAGTCGACCGACGCAGCGCCGGCCTCCACGACGCCCGAAGAGACGGCCGCCGCGTTCCAGCAAGCGCAGCTGCGGTACACCGTGGGCGCGACGTGGATAAAGAACCAGCGCAAGCGGTCTCGCTTCCGGTGGAGCGTGGCCAGCCCGGCCGAAGAGGCGCACGTCGACGCCGTCATGGCCTCGGCCCGCGCCGACGTCCTCGCCTCGCTCCGCACCATGTATGCAGACCCGCTAGCTCTGTACGAGGCGCAGCTGCGCCAGTCGCTTGCAGTCCAACACCGGGACTGGGTCGCGTACGACTTGAGCGTCGTCCAGTCGCTGCGGAAAGCGCTTCGCCCCGACACGGAGACAGACGCCGAGACGTCGACGCTCTACACTCAGATCCAGCGCCTCTTGAAAGAGAAGGCGCTCTTCGACTACATGTGGGCCATGGAAATGGCGTCCACCTGATTATTTAACACCCCGCACAGCAGCAGTAGGTCGCTTTCCGTACGAGTATACACCACGAACAGTTAATATAAGAAGCTCCTACGCCTCGACTACACTACACTCGGCGTCTCCACGTGGCTCTTGGACCTGGCGTCGACTCGACAGCCGACTCAGACGCGACCTTCAAGTGGCGTTAATGACGCGGCGGCGTGCCCCGGCCGTGCCCCGGCATTCCGATTTCGCCGAAGCCGCGTCGGCACGAAATAGTGTACGATTGAAGCGGTGTCAAGTTTGGATACGCGCCTTGTTGCGGCTGCAACGGCAAGCTCCAGTGGGTAGAAATCGCGGGACTTTGGCCACTGTACCACTATACACGAGTGCAGCGCAGTGGACGAGCGAGCGTTCGAGTGGCGGCATCCCTGTTGCCAGCGACACGCATTACTACACTATATCGATACCTCTCTTCAACCTGGATACGAAATACGGATATAGTGTGAGTTGGCCCTCCTGGGCACGGCAGAGAGGCGAGGCCCTTCCATGCTCGTTGATCGCCGAGCGCTTGCGGTGCGTCGAAGGCAGTGGATACGACACCATTCTGGATACAAGGCGGGACGACCGACGTGTATATTGATAGATAGTTGTGTGGCTGTAGACCACGGGGACCGCCGTTTTATGGCGTTGTCACTTGGCAACCGTCGATACTAGTAGTAGACGCGTACACGCGCGTCCAACAGAATAGTACCAAATCCCTTGGTTGCGCTACTACATAGGTACTCGTACGCTTCAAGCCCGTTCGCATCCTTGGAATGTGCCGCGGCTTTTACACTATTTACACTATTGCCGACGCCATGTTGCGACCTCAACTTGGACCAAATCTTTTTTGTCCACAAGTCAATTCACCTCGGTCCGTAGCATGTCGGGCAAAGGAGGCAAGGGCAAGACGCCCGCAACGAAGGCTGCCAAGCAGCCAGCTCAAGCTCCCCCTGCTGCGCCGGCCAAGGCCGCGCCCAAGCCTGCGCCCAAGGCCGCGCCCAAGCCCGCGTCGCCCAAGGCCAAGGCGCCGATTGTGACGCCCGAGCTCGTTGCGCAAAAGAAGGCGCTCCTCGAGAGCCTCTCGACCAGCAAGGTGACAATTGG